TAGAAAATTACTCAATGTATCATTTTCCGTCGAAATTGTGCATACACTCAACGCTTACAAGTCCGGCTTACACGTTTGGACAACATGCTCGATCAAGCAATGTTTCCAACATGTCGATATAACTATTCATTTAAGTCTGTGATTCACGAACAATTATCGAACATGGCAAAATACCGATATACTATTTTACTATTGAACTATGGAGGCTACTTTTATTGGCGTTCGACCATTCTTTACCATTGTCATAAATAAAATTTGCGTACAAATCAGGGGTACGCGGTGTGAACGAAGATGAAATCAAACCTAGTCTCTTTATATAATGTTGAAAACGAGCGCGACCAAAAGCGCGAACGCTTGCCGAGGTTTGGAACGTTCTACCCTATGTAGAAGCGTGATTATGATTTGCGACCTGATTGCCTAACTAAAACGACAATAAATCGCTGGTTGTAATATTCGTACTGTCCCTTTGGATGGGCTCTGATTCAATGGTTGTTGTCCACTGCTCTGAGTAAAACATATCACAACTGATGACAAATTTGTACATAAACATGGTTGTGAAAACACCGACAATTCGCCTTCCTGCTGCGGGCAACATGAATTAATTACATATTCTTTTCATATGAATATAGAATGGGATATAAAAAATTATATTCGATGATTTTAACAAATTTTCAAAATTTCTGATAGAAGAAAAATTTGTCTAACTAATCTGGGATCTGATACACAATGTTCGTAATATTTTATATTGAGATATAATATATTCTCTTCTACGCAACTAATACTATTGATAGTTTTTTTCACCTGTACAAATCCAAATGGGAAGAGTTTATCTGTTTCTCCTCCAGTACCAATGTAAAACTTGTCTCTCCAGTCAGCTATCATTGCAGGAAAGGTACAAGAATAGGAATCTTGTTTAATACCATGTATTGTATTCGATTCTCCTGTGAATATAAGTGTACTTAAATTAATTCAGTAATGAACGTATCATAGCATTCTTAAATACAATAGGATTTATTTCGAGTTTAAATTTAATTATTTTCATACAACTGTATGTAACTTATGAATTGGGTGATGGTATTTCGGAATACAATTAATATGGATTTAAGCTTTAACGCAATTTTTATTTATTATTTATAATCTCTTTATTGAGATTCTAAAATATACGAATGCGTTGCAAATCGAAGGCAAAAATAGGTACAGACAGGTACAGGTACAGGTCAAAATGTTTTGTATGTCACCCATACGACAGAACATTAGGCGACAAACGAGCAAGGTCACAGCATGGGTTTATGTGCTGTTGTACTATATAAAATAATGATAAAACAACACAAAAACTATTTCAAAATTGACACACTTTTTATTGTGTGAATAAAAAATTGTGCCACATTTAGAGGTCAAAAGCCAAGGTATATAACTGCAGAGGGAAAAAAAGTCATGGCCTCCTGACTTGGCAAACGTGTTCCCCACGCAACTCATGACACCTAAGCACATTTTTCGTGAAAACGACAATGTAACATTTCTTACCTTGATACCAAACTACTCCTTTTATTGTAATATTCAGTAATGGATATATCATAGCATTCCACAGTACACTGTCAGCTTTGGCGTCACTTGTGTATTGCATAATAAATGTGGAAAATTATTTTATAATGTATGTTTTTGTGTTACAAGGTGAAATAATTATGATTAAAATAAATATACAGGTCTATTAAAAAAATCAAACGAGAGGTAGAACACAGCGGTTCGGCGTGGAATGGTTCATTTAAAAATCGTACAGTTATATTTATAAAAAAATTATTGTGTAACAATATTAGTGGTAATGACGGTCGCTCTTTCAGGTTTTTGTAGATGCCTCAAGATATAAACCTTGATATACATTTTGTTTCTATGAGAATATTTTTTTTAATAGTCATTGCAGAATATAGTATTTATATTGTAAAGAAAGCCTCAATCGGTAACTCTTTTGAAAAAAATAATGATTTG